CCATGGCATTTTGTTTTTTGCATTGATCTGAACAGATGGCTCTGAAACAGCTTTAGACATTATCATCTTTCTCAGATGTATCCAAATTCCAGCTACCTGCATGATTCCAAAAAAAGGAGGATGAGAGGTCTCCAACTCAGCTCTCTCTGAATTCAAACCCACCTTCTGTGACTGAGCAGCTCCCATTCAGCTGGCAGTCTCCAATGTCTCCCAGGAGGCCTGCAGGCCAGGCTATTTTCAGACGTTTACCCTGTGACAATGCCTCCACTTGGGTTCCCGCAGACATTAATCTCCATCATAGGTGTCTCATCAAAAGCAGACATACACCCACTGAAAAATAATGTGTGCTAATGAAGTTTGGAGAATTTAGGGCTTTTTTATAGTGGCAACCAGAAGCAGATGGAGAACAGGTTCTTGGGAATCTGTTGGCTTACAACGTCTGAGGGTCCTTTTTCATAAGAAGCTAAAACAATGTCCATAAAAGGCAGCAAGTTCACAAAGTCCCGGCCTCAATAATGCCGTCTACTTAGTACCTACCCACATCCCCCAACCCCAACAGAAAGAGCTAAGAGGAGATTAGAACCAGGAATGTGACCCCCACCCCTTCCCCTCTGATATCTAAACTGAGTGCCACAGCAAGAGTGAGGTCTGGCTTCTAACTTTCACATGCACAAAACCACTTTAGATTAGAATACACTAATACAGGTCATAGAATGCACAACGAGATCTAGATTTGCGGTTCATCTACACACATGACCTGCTGTTTGACTTGGCTAAGTAAGTTTATTTTCTTCTCCCAGAGTAGTGTTCTTAATAACAAAACAGGGACATCAACATATACCTCCAAGCAAGGTTAACTCCTTACAAAAGAAAGTTTCAATACAATCACGTATATGTGTGTGTTCACAGTTATCAGCATGACAAAATAGTTTATTGGTCTGTTTATAAATAATTACTTAAGGTAAAGCCCTGTTGGTTTATATGGAATTTATTAATAATTTTTTTCTAAGCAGGCAGTTATAATAATAGATATATATGTATATAATCAAGTCTGGCAGAAGGTGGCAGACATTCTCAGTTAAATGCACACCAACCAGGATTTTGATAATACAAGAGTAAGTTGTTTAAAGTACTGATTGCAGATTTGGGGGAAGGTCTTTTATCTGAACTAGAATATTAAGATTCAAATTTATATTAAAAGCATTATGTGGCCAGATGCGGTGGTTCATGCCTATAATCCCAGCACTTTGGGAGGCCAAGGCAGGCAGATCACTTGAGGCCAGGAGTTTGAGACCAGCTGGCCAAGATGGAGAAACCTTGTCTCCACTAAAAAACACAAAAATTTAGCCAGGTATAGTGGTGCGCGCCTGTAATCCCAGCTGGATTCTGGAGGCTAAGGCACAAGAATCACTTGAACCCAGGAGGCAGAGGTTGCAGTGAGCCAAGATCCTGCCACTGCACTCCAGCCTGGGCAACAGAGCAACACCCTGTCTCAAAAAATAATAATAATAATAAAAGCATTATGTTTCCCAGGTATGCAGAAATCAACCAGAATGTGACTAACCTACATGCAGACCTTTATTAAATCCATATTTATGTTACCTGCATGTGTTTACTTCACTACCTGGACCTTATCTTGATTGTTTATGTAAGAAATGAGGGTAACTCTCATACATCTTTGCTCAGACAATGTAGCTGCTAAATTAAATAACTTGTAATACACATTTACACATCATACATGTCCACCAGCGCTTTTGAATTCTATTTGTCCAGATGTGACTGCTTGGTTGTGGGGGCCACCTGCCGTGTCCCCTTTGTGATCTGATCAGTGCTGGCGGCTCCTATTTCTGCCTCTAACACCCTGTTGGGCAGTAATAAGATGTTAAAGGCAACAACAGAGAGAGAAGCCAGGCTGTCAGCTTCAGAGAGGAAGGGGGTGAAGGGTACAACAAGGAAGAAAAAGAAAGGGAGTTGAGGGGAGATCAAAGACAGGCAGGAAGAAAGCCAAATTGCTAAGAGAGGAGATGTGGCTTCAGGAGCTTGGGACCCTAAGGAAAACCCCAAAGCAATGAGATTCAAAATTGTGCCATCCAATCACCCCAGCTAATTGAATTATTGAATGTCCCACATGGAAAAAGCTAGTACAGTGAAAAATAGCCCATACTCAGTGTAGGCAGAGCCCTGCATAGGTGCTGCTGGAAACCTGAGCTTGTTTCTTCCCAACACATTAACTACCACCACTTTATACCCCATCCTGAGGAAACCTTTGTGTGACCATTTTCTGTAGGGGGCGTCCGTGGTGTTGGCTTTTTTTTTTTTTTTGGAGGGAAGAGAGAGACTCAGAACGCACACAGAGAAAATGCTAATGTCATTCAGCTCTGTTTCATTGTCAGGAGGGACACATGAGGATAAAAACATAGCTCTCCAAACCATTCTCCGCTACCCCTCCTCCCTGCACCACCACCATCCCTTCGGCTGGATGTGTCGCTGCACTTTGTTCTAATTTATCCCATGCATAATTTATTCACGTTTGTATTGTTTCCTGATCAGCAACTTTCAAAAACAAATGAAATATATAAGATGTTTTATTAAACAAGTTGTTAAAAAAAAAAAAAAAAGGCAGATGGTGTCCGTCTCCCAATAACAACGTGTGTGCTCCTGCATTAGGAGTTAAAAACTGTCCAGGGTGTGAGAGGCTGGGCTGGTCAGGGGTATTGTTTACACCCCTTTACCTCCAGGGAAAGGGTCTGGGAAGCAGAAAGGAATGGCTAATTATAAATGACCACTCAACTCCCACCTAGAAAAAGCAAGCAGAGGCGTTGTGTGTATGCTAGTGTGTGCATGCGTGTGGCGGCACAATTACAAATACATCACATTGCAACTGTTTCTAATTATACAAAGTACAATTCAGAACTAATTCCACTAACCAGCCGGGATTCCGCCACCTTCTTTCCCCCGTCTGTCCCTTCCCCCACCCTTAACCCCACCCTACACAGACTCCCTCCCCAAACACGCACCCTAGTGTGATCCAAAAAAACCCTGGAGCTAGCAGGGGAACACTGAAGCTTAGAGATACTGCGCCCGCCCGCGCGAAAGCGGGCTCCCGGGTAACTAGGGTACGGCTTTCCCAGTAGGAAACAAACCTGGTGCACATGTGAAATAGATTCTCTAACTTGAGTTTACCAGGTGGCATCAGCCTGGTTATGTGATTTCGGCTGGATATGGGGAAACTGCAAATCAGTTGTGGGTTCGGTAGAGACAGCATCAGCGGTGTTGCAGCGAAAGCAACCGGCAGCGAGGATGCGGCGAAGTTACGCCCATTTATTCTGCCATAAAACATTTTCTTTCTTGGATGAAACGCTGTGGCGTTCAAGTGCAGTGTATCCGAGCTTCCGAGGCAGAACTGAAGCCGGGAGCTCCTATCTGATCAGCCTCAGCTTCCAACGTCCTCTTAACGGCAGCTTTCATATAAATATCTTTGAAACCTGGGGCATTCCTACCCGTTTCCCTATTTCTGGTGGGCGACGAGCTGGTGCAAACACGTCCGATTCTCCCTGTGCATTCCTTTGCGTTAGGAACCCCCCTATCGTCTCCAGGAGCGAACCTGGTTTTCAACTCCAGGAGTGGCGAGGGGTGAAGACGAGAATGCGCCGAATTAAAAGAAGCAGGGTCGACAGTGGCCACGCACCAGGGAGAATTCGGCACGAACCGCCCCCCACCCGGCCCGCACCTCCCTCTCCCCCGCTTTGCCTGCGGCTTCGTCCGGGCGGGGAAGTCCCGGTCGAAGGGGTGCGGACCCCCAGCCCACCTCGAATACGGAGGGAGCCACCCTCTGCCGACATCACCCAATAGCACCCCTTTCAGAGCGACACTAGTTTTCCGAGGCCACCCTTGGCTCCGCGATCGCGAGCGGACTTGGCGGCTTAACAGTTCCACCGACTGGAAGGAAGGAAGGAAGGAAGGAAGCCAGGATGAAAAGGAGGAGGAAGGCAGGCAGGCAGGCAGAAATTGGCTGTTGGACCCGGGGCTGGCCCCCGCGAGTGCTCGCCTGGCCCGCCCCACTCTGTCCAGGATCTGGACAAGCGCTCAAAGTCTCCCCGGGGCGGCCAGAGGCACCTGCCCCTCACCCGGCCGGGAGCAGACGCTGCCCCCTCGGGCCAGGAGCCCCAAAACCGCCTCTCCGCCTGCCTCGGCGCCTCACCCAGAGGTGGCGAGAACACCATTCATAAGACCTGCAGCTTCCCTGCCTCCAAATCCACCCCAAGTTAACCCGAGTCGTTAATCCACTACAGCCAGGTTGCTTGCAAACACACGAGCAGACACACGCGCGGTCGCCCGGAGCGCCTCCGAGATCCGGGGGCTGCCGGGGAAAGCCCGGGGCGACCACCTGGGACCCAGCACGCCCGGGACCCGCTGCTTCCCCTGCGGTGCTCCCAACTCCGGAAGGTTTGCACAAACTCCCCGCGAGCGATCGGAAGGCGAAGAGCGCCCTGCAAACTCCGGAGCCTCAGCGGTCCGTCCGCCGGACCCAGCAGACCCAGCGGCGGGGCGGGAGCCGCGGGCTTGGGGGTGCGGGGCTCGTCCAAGTGCACCGAGGCAGTCCCGGCCCGACGCTCGCCCCCCGCCCGGCCGCCCCCGGAGCCTCGCTCCCTGCCCGCGAGGCGGGGGACTCCAGGGACCGCGCTGTCCCCGAGCTCCCGCGACCCCCCTGCTGTAGAGCGCTCGAGCGCAGGGCTCCTCCGCCGGCAACCCCTATCTCTCGCTCTCTCTGCAATTTAGCAGAACACAAATGTAACAATTTTCTTCTTGTTAATTGCATCTCCTGACATTTCTGCGCGTTGGGGGAAAAAAAAAGAAGTAAGAGCTGAAAGGAGAGAGAAGCCCCGCCGCGGCTGGAGGCGCCTGCAAGCGCAAGCACTGGCAGCGCTCGCCACGCAGAAGGCGCCTTTTTTTTCATATTGAAACCACGCGGAATATGTACATTTTTTAGTCTTACTTACGCTTTCAGGGGGTTGTGAATGACAGTCGCCATTTTGCTACAATGTAACAGAATATTGTCTGTCTCAGAGTTCTAAAGGTTCGCTCAGGGGAAGCGACAGGCCAATCAGAGCGCGGGATACCGGCCCGCCGGCCAATCGGCGCGGCTGGTCGCCAGGTGGGCGGGGCCTGCTCGGTGGTAGTTATTAGGGGAGCTGTCAAAGCCCAGAGGTCACTCCCTTTTGTAGAGCCCGAGAGCCAGCAGGTCTTAAAGGGGAAGTACCGCGTTGGCAGCTCCTTTTCGGGCTGGGGAAAGTGGAGACGCACGGGAGAATATTATAGTTTGGTTCAACTCCCTACTTTTCTAAATAACTGCAGAGTTTGCGCTCCTGGACAGAAATATTTCAATATTGCCAGCAAGCCACTGAATCCTATTCATTAGCTTTTGGCTTTGCGTATCAACATTTTTAATCCCCCAAAGGGTAAATCCCCGTGTTTCAGTACAAAAGTTGGAAGGCTGCCGTTTCGTGTAACAAATTACTACATGTGCTTTGCCGTTTGCTAATGCTCTGGGTCCTGCTGCTTTTTAATATTCTTATTCCCGAAGTGTTCTCTTTATCTCCGCCACCTTCCTCTCTCGCTTCTTGGAACTGCCGCTGCTGTTCCTGGCGACTCCAGGACAGCAACTCACCCTCCCCCTGGAATGTCTCAATGTCAGGCTCACTCCCTCCTGCAGCCAGGGCTTTCTTTACGTAGGGCAGGGGGGTTACTCTGCGCGGTCCGCCGCTACCACCCCTTCTGTTCTGCTCCCTACACCAGAAACTTCCAAAATGCTCAGATTCCTGCTCGGTGGTGTGACCTGGAGCTCTGACCTTTAGGCTTAGAGGTAGGGAGGACTTCAGGCAACCTTTGGAAACTTTCTACTACTAGGAAGCAAGTGCCTAGGCAGAAGTTGTAGAGCCTGGACTGGGTGTTGTCAGAGTCCCTTTAGAGGAGTGGCACACGCGATTCTGACGTCACCTTTCACTACTTAGAAGGTGGAAAGAATTTGCTAGTGAATAATCCGATGTGACCCGAGGCGTCCAAAGAGTCTGTGTCTGCTTCAAGTCAGTGTGAACTCTTCACTGGCGAGCCCCTGACAAAATTGGGAGACTTTTGCGAAGTCAGGCTTCCACTGGGCACCGGGAAGCTCTGCGTGGATGAAATCGCATTAAATCGAGAATAGGGTAGGGGCCTCGTTAGCATACAGAAGTCTGGCTACCATTCCAAAGCTGTTTAATCAGGTCAAATAGCTAAGATAGTGGGGGAGGGGTGGCAAGGGGAGAGAAGTTGCCAAATTGCCAGTTCAAAGCTATGCCCTCTTGCTTCCTTTTGCTCCTCTCAAGACAATGAATAAAATAAAATAAACATTCCAGAATTTCAAGAGTTCCACTACATACGCTATTAGATTTACAGATAAACAGAATAACTGTTTGTAATAGATTTGAAATATTTAACTCCCCTCTGCCTATTTAATAAGCAGAATCAAGTTCTATAGATTCCTTTGTAAATTCTTTGCATAGCATCTTGGCAGAGATTACAGTTTGAAAAAGTTTTCTCCGAGACGGGTGGATCACGAGGTCAGGAGATCGAGACCATCCTGGCTAACCCGGTGAAACCCCGTCTCTACTAAAAAATACAAAAAACTAGCCGGGCGAGGTGGCGGGTGCCTGTAGTCCCAGCTACTTGGGAGGCTGAGGCAGGAGAATGGCATAAACCCGGGAGGCGGAGCTTGCAGTGAGCTGAGATCCAGCCACTGCACTCCAGCCTGGCTAAGAGAGCGAGACTCCGTCTCAAAAAAAAAAAAAAAAAAAAAAAAAGTTATCTCCTTTTCCAAAATTAAAGTTTGACAAATCCCTTCTTTACTAATTTGACAAGGGATTGGTTCAAAAGTCTATACTTTGCCTGGGGTGGGCCTTGACATCATTGAAAAGCAAGCCCTATATTTTCACCCAAGAAGTATGAGTTTGAAGTATCAGTCAGAAGTCCCACTAACCTCTTTGAGGTATCAAAGACACAGCAATTCAGATTAGTAGACAACAACGCATTTTCTTACACGCAGCCTGATAAAGTAGGAAATGTAGAGACTCCCCTGAACAAGATTTACAATTTAATGGGGGAAGAGAGAAAAAAATGAATTTATATTACATATTAAAACACATACTGTAAGCATGTACATATCATTTATTGTGTTAAGGCCTGGATGCAGAAACCAGCATAATCTCTAACTACCAACAAACTTGAAACTGTCAAATCAGATTTATCGATTGGATTGGAAAATAGTGAATTAAAGACAGTACTTTAAAAAAAAAAAAAGGATAGACTTGTTTTTTGTAACCCAATGGAATGTCATTTTAACTCTATCAATACAGTTATGACTTTTAAAGAAATAGTTATATTTAACATAAAAGAGTTATTTTAACTTTAGTGTTTATATTATAGATCAAAATATAAAGTTTGTTTTTTGTTTTTTTTTTTTTTTTTACCAGAAGGTTCCAAAGTAAAGGGGCATAGAGCAGGCATGTTTAAAGAAGACGGTATCCTTAAACAGAGTTTTGGAGAAGTTTCACAGTTCTGGGGCAATTTCATAGTGCTGTACATGGCAGAAGTGTGAACTCTGGAATCTGCCAGCCTGAGTCCACTTTACCAGCTGGGTTACCTTGGTCATATTTACTTGCCAGGATTAAATGAGGTAATATATGTCAAGTGTCTGACACACAGCAAGCTTTCAATTCATGTTATTATTTCTCACAGAGAGAACTAATTCTTTCCTTATGCCATATGGAATGTAGGGAATCCGAAAAACAAGGTACAACAGAAAGTGAAATTAGCTATCACATTTAGTTTTCTAAACCCATTAATCCAAGAAAAATGAGCAAATGGACAACTTGGATGACAATAAAATAATAAATAGGAAAGATGTTTCAATGAGGGGTCACATAACTATATAACCCTGAAAAAGGCCTCTTGCTGATTGTTATACCAAAACACCTTTTAAATTCTTTTTTTTCCTGAGATGGAATTTCGCTCTTGTTGCCCAGGCTGGAGTGCACTGATGCAATCTCGGCTCACTGCAACCTCCACCTCCCAGGTTCAAGCAATTCTCCTGCCTCAGCCTCCCAAGTAACTGGGATTACAGGCGCCCGCCACCACGTCCAGCTAATTTTTTGTACTTTTAGTAGAAATGGGGTTTCACCATGTTGGCCAGGCTGGCCAGGTTGGTCTCAAACTCCTCAATTCAGGTGATCCACCCACTTCAGGCTCCAAAAGTTCTGGGATTACAGGCCCCAGCTAACGTACCCACAGCCTAAAATCCCATTTCTAAAGCCCTATAGCTATTCATATATTTGAATACACTTCATTGTACTCCATCCCTTTGATCTTGATTTAGCTGGTTATGCAGCTTAATTTGGAGAGCAGAGTGGCCCCAGAATAATCACCTCCTCACCTCACCTGGAGAATGTTGAGCTTCACTGTCCAATATAGGTGCCATGGGCCACAGGTGACTACTGAGCACTTGAAAAGTGGTTACTCCCAATTGAGATGCGCTGTAAGTGTAAAATAATGCACCTGATTTCAAAGACTTAGGAGAAATAGAAGGTAAAATAACTCATTATAATTTTTATATTGATCGTATGTTGAAATGATATTTTGGATTTACTGGATTAAAGAAAATGTGTTATGAAGACTAATTTCACCTATTTCTTTTTTTTAATGTGGCCACTAGGAAATTTTAAATTGCACATGTGGCTGGCATTGTATTTTTATTGTACAGTGTTGCACTGTACAATAAAATGAAGAGATCTGCCTTTTTGCACTGCACAATGAAAACATACCTGAAGTGTGTGTCACCAGGGAAAGAAGTGTGGGGACCATTCTCAACCATGTTCATTCACCCTTGAGGTCAGTGAGCGAAACTCCCTGGCCCAGCTCCTGTGTTTGCCGAATGTCATCCATTTGAAGGAATATTGGGCACAACCAAGGACCCAAGGACCTAAGCCCAAAGGACACTCATCTCTCTTTTTTATTATTATTTATTTTATTTTTTGAGGCTGGAGTATAGTGATGTGATCTCGGCTCACCACAACATTTGCCTCCTGGGTTCAAGCAATTCTCCTGTCTCAGCCTCCGGAGCAGCTGGGATTACAGAAGCCTGCCACCACGTCCCGCTAATTTTTGTATTTTTAGTAGAGACAGGGTTTCACCATGTTGGCCAGGCTGGTGTCGAACTCCTGACCTCAGGTGATCCACTCGCCTCGGCCTCCCAAAGTGCTGGGATTACAGGCATGAGCCACCACACCCGGCCCCCATCTCTCTTTACTCCTAAAAAGTTTGAGGGCTATTTCAGCAGATAACACAATGCTATAAGAAACCCATCCAGAAGCAGGAAAGAATGGTATTTCTGTAGCAAGTGCCAATCTTTCCAGTTGACTTTTTAAAGGCACATGTAAACGTGAGAGAGAAGTAAGGGAAGGAGACACAGGCCTTCCAAACAGCCAAAGAGTTCATTTGAAAGAGGAAGTGTGCCACAAAAGCCATCCAAAACAAATGCAGTTCCTAATGGGCTTCAAGAGCTGAAGGAGTTTTAAGGCCCATGGGGATTAAAAACAAGAACAAGCTCCCCCTCAATCCCTGCATTCATCCACAGAGCAACCAGCCATGGCCTCAGCGACTGGTTGGCTGTACTGGTTCCCTGAGATACAGAACCGGCTCTGATATGTTATCCAGGCACTGGGCTGAAGAGGAATAGGAGTCCTTTGGAAGAAAAGTGAGCATCAAAACTGCAATTTAATTTTTCTCTCTTCCTGGGGGAATGTGGGGAGAGGAGTTTCTAGACCCTTCACAGTATCTCAGTGCATACAAACACACACACACAATCAATTTCTCAGGATGGGAGATGCTCCTGGGGTAGTCCTTTGAAACCTCATAATTCAGGGCAGAGTTAAATAAAATCAGTGTTTACTGCTGCCCACTAACTTCATTCATTCATTCATTCATTCATTCACTGGAGGCTTTCTCTAAGGGAGGCATTGTGCTAGGCACAGGTGGCAAAATAAAAATAAAC